GATATTTAGCATAACATTTGCGTTGTTTCTTGAAGAAAAACTTTATACAAGGGAACCCGAACAAGTGGTTGACAAAGCCAACTACGTAGCGATCAAAAACTAAATAGATTTTCTTTGTAATCAGGAACCCTAGTGGAATGACAGATTCGAAAATTTACAGTAGTTGCCCTTATCTTTGATAAAGTTCTGGTAATAGAACATAACAATGATTTGAAATGTGCAAAAACGGCACCGCTAGTGCAAAACAGGTGTGGAACAATGACAGAAATGTGTGTGATCTTAAAGCTACTCAAATCTCAATGGTGCATTTGAGTGAGCAACTCTGGACTCTGCGTAGATGTTTGAACAAATATGAAAAGAAGAAGAATAATTAGAATCGTGCTATATCCGCAGTTGCTCAACGACACCCTGTTAACGACAGTATTGCACAACAAAGAACAAAACATCCAAAAGAACAAAAAATGTCATCAGAAAACATCAAAAGAATCAAGCCTAATAGGTAGAATTCTACGAATCGAATGTAGCTGTACGTGCGATGCGTCACAGACGACTACACATCATCGCACGTACATGAGATCAGAAGGTCTAAACCGGAAGTTCTCGGTACTTGATGGGATACTCGACATCGAAAGAGGTATAGCCGGTTAGGTTCTCGCCACTAGCCACCTCTTCTTCGTCGCTGCTGTAGGTGACATTGCTACCGTAACCGGGGAAGAGAATCGGTTCGTGCGAAGACCATCCACGTGCCGATGGACCGAACTTGTACACGAGACGTCGACCGCTCACCGGCAGCAGAATTTTCGTATTATAGTAGTATCTATAATATAATTTTCAACATATGAGATGTCACGATACGAACAAAGAAGATAACTGCCAACTTCCCGAGCTCTGATTGGGTGTTGTTCTACCGTTTCAAAGGAGCGCCCGATCGGGTAGTATCACTAGATGACGCCAGCTTATAACTATGAAGCAGCACCCGATCAAGCAGGGGAATTGACGAACACCCCGCAAAAGGCTTATACATACGGTACTAATCCGCAAACATTATGTGCATTTGCACACACTCATCACATTGCCCGTAAACCCGTGCTTTGTCAAATAAAATTGTGTGTCTCTTCTTATTAAGCATTTTGGCCTCTTTCACAATTTTATTTTAGAATAACAAGGTGAGTGCCAACGTTCCCTAGAAATTGCATGCGAAATATCTAACGAAATCCAGGATATGATTAGCAATGTGCATGTTGTGTGCAATCGCACACGGTTGCGAGTCTCGACAACTAGTGATCTCTGGGATTCGAGACTACTAGTGATCTCTGGGTAAGGCTAAAGCTCTAATCAGAAAATCGTCAGCTAATTCGCAATCCTCCAGTTGAAATCCTCATCAGCTTCTTTATAATGATCCCTCTGCGGTTGTTATGATTATGATCCGGGGCTTTTCTATATGTTTACTTGCCTTAAAAAAAGCTGAAGCGCAAGGATCAAGCGAGTCACAAAATTATGGATTTACAACTATGGTTTGAAGTGAATCTTACACCTCCTACGCCAAATACACTATTAGAATGCAAAAGGGCTACATCATTGTTCCGCAATAACGAACAAAAATTAGGATACAAAAAGAGTAAAACCTAATTTGAAGACAAAAAGACTTATTTAACATTTGGAAGTGAAGTTGATTACCAGCTAGATAGACAAAAGTTGAAATACTCTTCAAAACCTCGAAAATACCATTATCAAGGGCTACACTTGTTCAGTTACAATGTAGTGCAGATTTGGGGAAAATATGGGATTTGCTCCAGCGAAACATAGTAAGTCTGAGAGACATCCAAGGACACTAACTTCACTATTTACATCTTTTGAACCAAGCGTGTGGCTAGCATATTCGAAAAATTAGAAGTTTTTTAGAAAAATTCCACTGATCTGCAACAGTGCGCGCCGGTTACCGATTGATCAATATATCGATTTTCTCAAAGGCATCGTGCAGTACCTACGAACTTCACGCCCTTTAGCAACTTAATAAAACACCCTTTTAGCTTTGAATTTTGGACATCAGGCCATGATTTCCGGAGTCTCGCCGAGCCCCGTAAAACTCTCCATTACTTTGCCTCAAAAAGGTGTTTCAGCTTTGAGCATGACCAATGATGCATGGCTTTTGCTACAGCCAGGAACTTTCTAATATTTTAATTTCTTATCACTTCCTTTTCTAAAAATAGATTTTCAGAAAATGCGCTCAATGTTGATGATTCTATCACCCTACTTGCCCCATAGATGTGTTGGCGCGCAAAAAAGATC